TGAGCTCACCCTGTAGCCCAGGCTGGTCTTGAACTCGCAATGATTCTCCGCCTCAGCTTCCCAAGTGCTGGGATTACTGGAGTGCACCACCACGCCTGGCCTCACACCTGGCTTCATAATGGACTTTCTGAAGTTTTCTGCATCCCCTGAAGTTTTTCCTCTGGCCCGGGTACCCTCTCCCTCCCTTCACCGACTCCTCTTTTATCCTCAAATTTGTTTTGTTTGTGTTTGCTGGTGCCTGGGCTGGAACCCAAGGCCTCAGGCATTCCAAGCAAGGGCTCTGCCATTACCCCCGCCCCAGCCCTGACCTCAGATTCTTTCAGAAACCTGCTTCTGTCTTCTGTGAATACCACACTGCTGATTCCCCCACATTTCTCAGGAAGTCTTTGCCAGCTCACCCTCCCATGTCTGGTTTCCATGTTTCATTGTTTGTAGAATTTCTGGGGTTGTTGTTGTTTTAGCTTTAAAGTAGAAAAAAATCCAAATTGTTCAAAACAAGCATTAACCAGTGCTTAACATCTGTCCACACCGCCGACGGATGACTTCTATAACCATGACCTTCAGCCAGGTCATATTCAAGAGGTCTCAGATTTAAACTTTTGAAGCATTTTCCAAATGGAGATTGGAAGCTCCAAGGAAAAAGACATCCAGAATTTTAGAGGGTTTTTTTTTTTTTTTTTTTTTTTTCAGTTTTTGTTTGTTTGCTTTTAGTTTTTTGAGACAGGGTCTTGCTATGCAGTGCAGGCTGGCCTTGAGCTCACTCTGTAGCCCAGGCTGGCCTCACACTTAGGGCTGCCCTCCCTTAGCCTCCGGAGTGCTGGGATTACAGGCGTGTGCCCACACCCGGCAAGAGCTTTAGAACTGTATTTATTTCCCACACGACATCATCTATATAAATCCTATAAATATGCCTTTAGAAGCACAATATGGAATTTACACCTTGAATTCTGTAACTCTGCTCAGCCTTTCGTTATTTTTCGGTTCATGGCTAAAGTGTAGAAAATGTAAATGGCCCCTTAGGCTTCTCTACCTCTAAGAGGAAAAAGTTCCTTTTGCTCTATTTTATCTTCATAAGAGCAAAAGAACAAAACAGAAGCTGAAAGTAAAATCAAATTAATATCAAGATGTATCATGTACAGGTACAAATTCCCTATGATGAATGTTATCATTATATATATCTAAAATGTATCAATTTTTAAAAAAACCCACAGAGGACCAAAAAAAAAAAAAGCAAAGGAATAGCTTCTGGAGGGCCAGCAAGGTTCCCACGACGCCTAGCAACCGTTGCTATAACAACACAACTTCCGCCTACACCGAGGAGTGTGGCTCCCCTCTCATCCCAGAAGGCACTGCGCTGTCTCCTAGCCTTCCGCCTCTCTCCATCCCAACATGCAACGGGGTTTACTTTATACGCAATCTTTACTAGGGTGACTATAAAAATGCCTGAGTCTCTTAAACTGTTTATAACAATAAGATGTGTGGGAACAATTTCAAAAGGGATACCTAGAGATTTCTTTTTATAAAATTTGTCTGTAAACTGGATTATAAAGCCTCTCCTTTTCCTGGATCCGTACAGGCACCTTGTTGGACAGCCCACACAGAATGGAGGCAGGAGGGGTCCTCGGGGTCCTAGGCAGGGCACGTGCGGGAGGAAGTGGCGCTGTCTGTCCGCGCGGACCTCCTAGAGCCTGAAACGTGGAGCCATGGGAGGCTTGGAGAAGAAGAAGGTGAGTGGCAGGGGCGCCAGAGTTTTCAGGGAGTGGAAGACGAGGGTGGCGGAGCCTATGGTCGTCTCTTTCCCGGGCCTCGGCTCTTTGTGAGAGCAGAAACGGCAGGATCGAGGAGACTGGAGGCAGCCCCGAGAAGGGATTCGAGGATGGGGTAGCACTGTACTGCAGTGCTCGTCTGATGAAAGCTGGGAAAGAAGTACGGAATTATTTCTGTCGAAAGAATTATAAAACTTAACTTCACGCCACACGTACGACGACAGTTTACAAAGAGCGGTCAACAGGACGTTCAGTTCTTCATTTCCAAGGCTTGCCTCCTTTCCGGGTGAACCAAGCCCTGCCCGAGGTACTGGAGATGGAAATAGAAACAATCATATGGCCCCAGCTTTCCCCAAGCTTACTTTCTGGCATACTGGAAAGACGGATACAAAAGTACAGAAAATGACCGCAGATTGTTAAGTGTGCTGCGAAGGAAACCAGCAAGGAGTAAGGTCGAGACTGTAGAACGCTAGAACGATGTGTGTTCCAGTTAGTGCAGTCTTGGAAGTTTTCTTCAAGGCATAATAAAAGAGCACAAATCTGAAAGAGCAGAATAGACTTGATGGGTTCCGAAGGCATGGAACATCCTTAGGGAGCAGTCCTGTATTGGAAACTAAATGCTAAGACCAGTAGGTAGGAAAGGCCTATTGTGTATAAGGATTTGTAATCGTGTAAGGTCTTATCCTGTTAGATCTTACCCTGTAAAACCTGTAAGCCGCAGTGAAGGGCTTGGATTTTATACTGAGTAGTAGAAATCAAAGCGAAGATGCAGTGACCAGAGATGGAAAACCTGCCCATGATGCAGAAGTGTGACAAGCCATTGCACTTCATTCAAGCTGGGTTTTCGGAACCATTTTGACATTTTGGGGCAGATAATTCTTCGTTGTGGAAAGTGTTGTCCTGTACATTGTAGAATGTTCAGTAGCTGCTAATCTCCAGCCACTAGATGCCAGTGGGAACCAACAACCAAAAATGTCTCCAGACATTGTTGAAAGAATTCTCGTCCCTCACTCCACGCACATATCCAGGAAGTAAAGGCACCCTGTTGAGAACCAATTAATATTTACAAAGATCCATGTGGCACAGGACAGTGGAAAACACTCCTATGAAAACTAAATGTGATACAAGTGATACAGTCTGAAGTTCATCTTTATATTCCCAGCACTTAGCATGGACTTGATCCCCAAAAGACAATCACAGAATGTCTAAAGGAAAGAATGAATGGTGTGTTTCATGAATGTGAAGTTATTCATAAGCATTAGTCTTCAGAAGACTATAGGTTTGACCCTCGAGAGCTGGGAAGTCTTAGAGGCCCCCTCTGGCTTATTCCAGAGGAAGCTCTCCTGAAAGGGACCTGTGCGTGGTTAGCTTTTGAAGGTGTTTGGTGCAGTACACTGCTTCTGTTAAGGATACTGAGATGTGAGTGTGAGGCAGCATCTAAGCACCACAGACATTCAGTTGGTTGTACAGGGCAACATGCTTGAGAGTTTGTAGAGACCAGGGTTTTTTCGTTTTGTTTTTTTTGGTCTTTATTTCTCCTGTAGTGTCTAGCTTTGAATGTGTTAGAGGACCTGCTATTGTCTGTTGAATGAATGGTGAAAGGAAGAGGCTGTGGCTTAGGGTATTCATTTTCTTTTTCTTTTTTCTTTTATTTATTTTAACCCCCCAGTCCTGGGAATTGAATATGGGGAATGCTGAGCTATGTCCCCAGCCCTGATTAATTTTATTTTGACCCAGTCTGGGCTTGTGCTGGTGATCCTCATTACCTCAGCAGTGCCCTGAGGGGTCGGGGTTACAGGCATGCATTTTCAGCCAGGGTGCTATCCTCAAAAGAGCAAAGCTTGGTTGGGGGATGTATCTTAGATATTACAGTGGTTTCTGGGCCCCTCAAAAGGACCACCTTACATAAGCAGATTTAGGGATGTCTGTGGTATTGATGTTTCATTGGGGCTGTGGGGAGGAAAAGATGATCTGTGGGGGCTGTCTAAAAAGTCTTGTGGTGGTGAAGGATTTTGTGTTTTGTTGTTGTTGTTTTTTGGTTTTTTTGAGACAGGATTTCACTATGCAGCTCAGACTGGCCTTGAATTCACTTTGTAGCCCAGGCTGGTCTAGAATTTACAGCAGTCCTGCTTCAGCCTCCTGAGTCCTGGGATTATGATAGGGGAGATTAGAGATTGAGAACACTAGTTTGAGAATACAGTTCAGTGCACAGGCTCTGAACTCAGACCTGAGTTTGAATCCCAGCTCCAGCTATTAAAAAGCTGTGTAATATGGGCAGGTTATTTCACTAAGCTTATTTTCTCTGTGAAACGGGGCTTCTAACAGCACCTACCTCACTGGGTTGTGAGAATTAAATGAAATAATATGTCAGAGTCACTAACTATTCTGGCCAGTATTTAGAGCTAGTGCTTATCAGAGTCACAACACCTCATAGTCCCCAGTGTCGCAGTCCCCAGTGTGTGTCCTTTGTGTTGACAGCTACAAAGATAGTACAGCAGAGCTCATTTAGGCAGGTCGGCTCTCTCCCTACAGTATTACCTTCCAGAAACGTCTTGGGCACTTGTCCAGAGTGATAGTTATTTCTAGAATTAGATGTGGCCAGAGTTTGATGTCAGTCATTCAGTCATTACTAATGAAGAATTGTTTTTTCCTTCCCCAAGTATGAACGAGGCTCTGCCACCAACTACATCACCCGAAACAAGGCCCGGAAGAAGCTGCAGCTGAGCCTGGCAGACTTCAGGTGAGGTTGGAAAGGAGCGGAGCTGGGTCTTTGGGAGTGTGTGCTGTGAAATGCAGTGAAAACTCAGCAGCCTCCTGGGCTTACCTAAGCTGCTGCTGACTGGTAAATTGTGCGATTCTTCCTCTTTCTCACCTGGCCTTGCTTTAGTGAGCCGTGCTGTGCCGGGTATGGTCCGAGGGGGCGTGGGAGGAGAACTGGGTCTGCAGAATGAGTTGATGGGATCTTTGCCACTCCATTTGGGCAGAAGAGACTGCCGATCCTGCAGCTGGGGGTTCTTAGAGTCAAGTGTAGACTTCTCTATGGCCTGTGAGCCCTGCCATTGGGCCAGACCTGACCTCAGCAGCCTCCCCCAGCTCACTTTTAGTCCTTTATACATATCCTGCATTTTCCAGCCCTATGGTCTTTGTCCTTTTTAGGGTGCTTATCCCTCTGTCTTTTTTTTTTTTTTTCCAGGGCTGGAGATTAAACCCAGGGAGCACTGACACAATACTCCTTGCTATTTTTATTTTATGAGACAGAGTCTTGCTGAGTTGGCCTCTAACTTGAAATTCTCCTGCCTTAGCCTCCCAAGTAGCTGGGATTATAGGCTTGCAACACCATACCTGGCTTGGCCCTCTGCGCTGCCTCCCTTCTCCATCCTCCACCCCCTGCACCTTTATGTGGTTGAAATGTTGATTTTTCAGCGAGGCATCGAGTGCCTGCTAGGCCCCTTCCAAATCCTGTTTGTTTCCTTTCTGGGCTTACAACAGTCTCCATGATATATCTGTGTGGGAACTTGTGATTTTCAAACTCCTGTATTAGGATGTGAGCTCTCCAGGGGTCCTGAGCTCCCTGTTCACTGTTGATTTCCAGGCTCAGGTGTGGCTTTACACCTTTGCTTACATGACAAATGGCTTCTGTCTTTTAGGCGGCTGTGCATCCTGAAGGGCATTTATCCCCATGAGCCCAAACATAAGAAGAAAGTTAACAAGGGCTCCACAGCAGCCCGAACCTTTTATCTCATTAAAGACATCAAGTTTCTCCTCCACGAACCCATTGTCAACAAATTCCGGGAATACAAGGTGAGGAGGCCTAGGCTGAGTGTCTGGAAGGGTCTCCGTTACACACAGCTCCGTGACTCACTCACTGATCTTACACAGGTTGCCAGCCCCTCTGAGCAAGCCTCTTTGAAGGAGGAGGTCATTCTGTCTCAAAGAGGTGTTTCAAGGACTCACTAAGACTACATGTCTAGAAATCGTTTGCACAGAATTGGCCAGTGATTGGTGCTTTACCTGGTTGTTTCTTAAAAGATTACATTTTTTACTCCTGAGGCAAAGCTCATGCTATTTTGGGGTCTTTCTGGTGCATTCTCTGCCTAAAGAAACAGCTTCTAAGCTGGTTCTTTCTGAGGTTACTCCCAGGAGACCAAGTCCTCCATTCCACAGACAGAGATCATTCACTGCTCAAATGCCATAGGGACAACAGAAACCTATTTTTACCAAGTGGAAATAATTGAAAGTAGACTAATGAAAGGCGACTATTGCTGCTGACACTTCTGACTGGGAGCAGGGTCTGGCTGAGCAGAGGGGTGCCACCTGGTGGCCAGCAGGAGACTGGGCTGCCCCATTTGTATTGTTCTGTGGCTGTATAAAGTCACTGTTAGAAGTGGACTGGTGGTGGGAGATGACGGTTTCTGAGCGCTGTTTGTCATCCCAGATGCTGTTTGAGCTTCTGGGAGACCCTAAGGCGGGGCATGAACAGTAGTTCTTTGAAGCAAGGTGCCAGATGAGTTGGAAGATCTGGCCAGTGCCAACTGGAGTTGGGAACAAGGCCCAGCCCTTCTGACCCTGATCTTTCTCAGTGGCACATCACTGGGCCTCTTTTTTTCATTTGGAAAATGGGGCTGATCTGCCTTGCATTCTTCCCATGTAAAACACGGCACCAGCATATGTGTGAGTGGTTGTCCCTGTGCATCGTTAACGGAGGTGTCCTGGTCCAGCTCAGGTCGTTAGCGTAGGTCAGCCAGCTGCTCTGTGGAGTTGGCTGCTGTGCAGATCCTGCTGATCCTACAGGCAGATAGCCAGGCCCAGCTCCTGGAGACAGTGAGAGGCTGCCCACCTCTTGGATCCATCCTCTGCAAGAGAGGTGTGCAGCAGTCCTTGGCCCAGTCTCAGTGGTCCCTTTCTTTTTTCCAGGTGTTTGTCCGGAAGCTCCGGAAGGCCTACGGGAAGAGTGAGTGGAACACTGTGGAGCGTCTGAAGGACAATAAACCCAACTACAAACTTGACCATATCATCAAGGAGCGGTGAGTCAGGCGCGCCTCAGAGCACCGCTGTCTTCCCTACTGGGCTCTGCCCTGGCATTGAGCACGGAGGGGGGACAAGACCAAGACTGTGCTCACGGAGTGCACGTCCTTTGTGAGTAGACAGACCAAGATCCAAACTGACAAGTCACCATAGTGATTGCAAGTGGTGCTGAGGACCGTGAGGGATGTAAGCAGCATGCAGGGAACTGGAGGAGGTGTGTCGATGACACGCTGGTCAGAGGAGGTCTCTTTGAGGAGATACTTGAGCCAACCAAGGGAGCCACATCCGAGCAGCGGCGATAGCAAGTGCAAAGGCCTTGTGTAGGAGGGAGCAAGACCTCTGGGGCTACACCTGGGGGGACCTGTCAGGCATGGGGACACTTGTGGTCTTACCTGTTCCTTGCCCAGCCTGCTGAGAAGTCCCTCTAATTCGTGTGCTGGTTCTTAACCCGGGGTAGTGTTGCCTCTCCAGTGGACATTTAGCGGTGTCTGGAGTGCTTTGGGTTCCTCTAACTCGATGGGATGCTTTTGGTTTCTAGGCGATACAGCCAGGATTGTTGCTAGATATCTTAATTACCCAGAACAGGCTCTGTAACAGAGCGGTCTATCCCAAGAGGTCAGTAGTGGTGAGGTTCAGAAACCCTAGGCTAGTGACTGTCTCTTTTTGTCTGGGCTAATGGCCCAAGTGTACTTAGCTGCAGAATAGGTGGCCGTGGCTGTGTTCGTGTCAGTGTGGGCTGTCCTGGGAAGGGCCCTGGCCTAGAAGCTAGACAGATGGTGTTTCTATCTCATCCTTGTGGCCCTGAGCTGGGCAGTTGGACAGTCCCCATCGCCAACATAGAGATGATGGTCGTTCCTGTCCTGCCTATCACACAGCTGTTCTGTACAAAAGATAAAGAGAGGGGCACGCACAAAAAAACCCCTGTGTTCATACGCCAGATGGCACCCGTATCCCCTTAGCTAGAACCAGGTCTTACGAAAGAAAATCAGGTGGCTCAGAAATGACTGGTGCCATTTCTACAAGGGTTCTGTGAGATGAGGAGCTAGGAAACAAGAGAGGACCACAGGGGGGCAGTTGAGGTTTCTGCCTTGCTGCTCAGCTCTGTAGCTCCCCCAATGGCTCTTCTCCTATTGCCTCCATCCTTGCTTGGGTTTAAAGACCTGGCAGACCTCTCCTGACTCACTGCAGTGAGTGATGGTCCCATATTCTTCAGAATCGTTTATGAAATAGCAGAGCCCTTCCAAAGGAAGCTTCTTGGAAGGCAGTTTGGAGGTCCAAAGCTATGGAGCCTGCTCCAGCTGCAGTGATGTTGAGGGAGGCCAGAAGCCCTGTCTGTCCCCTTGTGCCTCGTGCATCTCTAGGTAGCTGCAAGGGCCCAGTTTTCAACCACCAGTCTGGTCTTGCAGTGTCGTCTGGAAAATGACAGGGCAGTACCATTTTCCAGATGAAGCTGGGGTTGGCTATGGCAGTTACCTGCCCTGGGCTTCCTGCGGTTGGAACCCAGGTGTCCTTCATTACTTGTAGTTCAGTGTGTTCTCCATGCCCTGCACCTCAGTCCCCCAGCTGGGCACCCACACAGTGGTGGATCCCGCCTAGAACAGCTAGTTTTCCTCGGCTTCCTCGTTTATTACAGTGTTCCTAGAACTACTTTCCTGTTCTTGTCTCTTCCTAGACTCCCCCAGGTCCCACTTACAGCATTTTTACCCCTGGTTCTAACTGACTCTGCCAAGTAGGTGAATCTGGGTAATGAGAGCCAAGGAAGACATACCCTACTGCGGTGGCCTGTGGCTAGGCCCAGACACTCTCTCCCAGGCCCATGAGGCAGCTGCCTGTTTCGTTTCCCTTGTGGACCTTCTAATAGATTGCCTTTGAACTAAAGGTTTTAACTTCAAAAGGGGTCAGAGAGCCCCTAACTCGGTCTATACCCTCATACAGCAGTGGTCAAGGCCAGCTCTGTGGCGGGTGACTTGGGGTTCCCGCTGGGATTTCTCTGGTCCTCGGTGATTCATCCTGGTTCAGTGGTTCCCTCCAGGCCTGTTCCAGGTCTGCCACCAACTTGGGGGAGGCTGGTGCCAGCAGGTCAAGAAGTGGCCCAGCAAGGCCAAGTTGGGGGAATGGTACCTCTGGGTGGCCAATGGAGTAGGCCATTGGCGAGGTCGAATGGCCAGTGGACCTCTGATGGAGGTCAGGACCCTCTCAGAGTCCAGGCTGAACAAGCTCACGAGCACAGCCCCCATGGTCCTCAGGTACCCTACATTCATTGATGCGCTGCGGGACCTGGACGATGCCCTGTCCATGTGCTTCCTCTTTTCCACCTTCCCGCGGACAGGCAAGTGCCACGTGCAGACCATCCAGCTGTGCCGCCGGCTCACAGTGGAGTTTCTGCACTACATCATTGCCGCCCGTGCCCTGCGAAAGGTGAGCTGGGGCCCAGGGAGCCTGCCCGCCCCTCCCCTGCCGCCTGTGGTTGTCAACACATTGTGTCCCTCTCCGCTCAGGTCTTCCTGTCCATCAAAGGCATCTACTACCAGGCCGAGGTGCTGGGGCAGCCCATCGTGTGGATCACGCCCTATGCCTTCTCCCATGATGTGAGTGTGCCTGTGGGGAACGTCTTGTGCCGAGTCCTAGATGCCCCTGAAGTGTGGGTGGCGGACTTGCTGTCCTGCGGAGTGCAGCACATGCTGCGTTCCTGATTGTCGTCTGCGGTGGAAGGTGGGATGGGAATGTGCTGCACAGCCCTGTAGCTCTGTCACTCGATCCGTTGTAGAATTTCCAATGTGATAAATACATACTCAGACCCTAGCGTTAAGCCTAATTAAGAGCAGGAGTCCCCCAGCCCTCCCAGCTCCAGCGCACATCAGCTGGACATGTTCCTGAGCCCCTCTGTACCTCATTCAATAATAAGGTTCCACTTCTAAGCTTGTTATGAGGATTTAAGGGAAAAGAAATCTTCAGTGCCCGGTGCTTGACTCTTGGGGGTCGAATGAAAGTGTGAGCAGCTCTGGGTGGAGGTATGCCGGTGACAGAACTTGGCCCTGCCCTCATACCCACGGGGTCCCGGTCCCCACTCTGCCATGGACAGCTCTGACCCTGGCACTCCTGCTGCATCAATCATCCCATCCTCCCCACAGCTGGAGGATGGGGTGACCCTGGGGGTGGGATAGGACAAAGCACTTAACATACGGCCCAACCTCTTACTGATTTCTCGTTAAGTTTTGGGGGTTGTTGCCATGGTCTTGTAGAGAAGAGTGCTGGTTTTGCCTCCAGTGAAGAACAGTGGCCTCTAGTGTCTCCAAGGGTCTGTCCTGGCCAGCCACCTGGCTTCTCGTTCTGTGGCCTGCCCTTGGCCCACCTTTCTGCGTCTTCATAAAGTAGGGGCTGGTACCTTCTGTAGATAGCAGGTACTGCCGACGGCTTGGTTGAGGGAATGAGCTGCTGCCACCTGGGGTACCTGTCAGGTGCTCTGGGGGGTGCGAGGGCTGGGTATGGCCCATTGGTACTGGGTGGTGGGCTGAGGTCTGTCTGTGGGTGAGAAGGGAATTTGGGCGGTCCTCGTCCCGCACCTGGGGCAGGCTTGGGTAGCCAGAGCCTGTGGCCCTTCCCTCTTCCTCTCCATCCCTCCTCCTTCCTTCCTTCCTGCCGTTCTCTGTCCTTCCTGCTCTCTGATGTCCCACCCCCGTGCTACTCAGACTGGTCTTTGTGTGCCTTCCTGAGTGGTGAATAGGGCCCTGTGGAGGGACAGTCTCCACACAGCTGGCCCTGGGGGAAGGGCACAGCTGCCCATTCCTCCTTCCTGACCGGCTCCCACCACTGCTTCCTTCAGCCGAAGATGGACGGCCAGTACTGGGCTGTAGCGGGGCCCTTGTGTGCCCCTCTCCTGAGCAGCAATGCGACCCACGCAGCAGTGGGATGTGTCGGGGGTGCTCTGCTCACTTCCTTGCTGACAGAATGGGGTTGGTGCCCAATGTCACAGGCCGGGCAGAGCCCCTGTAGCACACATCCCTGCCTGGCAGCAAGGTAAAGAAACAGCTCAGAGGCCTGAGTACACCCAGCAGAGAGGGGATGTTGAGGTCATTACTGATTTTGATATTTCTTGAAGAATCTTGTCTATTGCAGAGTTGGGTTGACCTCCCTGGTTCTAGAGGGTTGGATCAGTTGAAAGTGGAGGCACAGCGGTCCAGGTCTCAGATCAGCTCTTCAGGGCAAAGATGAACCATGTTTGCTGGGTTGGCTGGCAGCTTTCGAATCTGGCTTTCTGCCTCTGTTCCAAGCAAGTAGTGGTTCTGCCCGTTATTTCCCAAGGGCTCCCTGGCACTTGAGCCGCATGGGTTTCAGGTTGTACTTGCTGTGTGGGCTTGAGGAGGGGTCACTAAAATGTGAACATCTCTCCCAAGGCTCTTGCCAGGGTGTAGATGTCCTCTCTAAGGCATCTCTGCCACTGAGATCTGTGGCCCCTCTTCTGGGCCATGGACTGGCTGTGCTCTGGAGGACCACCCTCCTGTGCTCAGCTGGCTCTAAGCAACATTGGACAGAGGCTGGGAGGGATGCCGGAGCGGGCTTGAGCTCCCCAGGTTGGAGGTCACATCTTTCAGGACAGAAGTCTGCACTGAGGCTTGAGGGATGGAGGAGGGGCAGGCAGAACACCTTGGACCAGTTACCCTTCTTCTAGGGGAAAAGAGTCGCCACTGTACCACATGGGGGTTTGGCACTGGCCTCCAGCATAGCCCTATCCCTGTGGACCCTATCCTGAGCCTCACTAGTGTCCAGAATACCAGTGGGTGGGGGTGCGCCGCAGCCCCAGCCTTGGACCCACACTGCTGATGCACCTCTTGTGCCCCCAGCACCCGACAGATGTGGACTACAGGGTCATGGCCACTTTCACTGAGTTCTACACCACCTTGCTGGGCTTTGTCAACTTCCGCCTCTACCAGTCGCTCAACCTCCATTACCCGCCAAAGGTAAGGCCCTAGCCCTTCTTCCCCCTCCACCGGTTTTTTGAGACAGGGTTCTCACTAGGTAGTTCAGGCTGGCCTTGAGCTATCAGCGATCCTCCTGAGTGCTGGGATTACAGATGTGTACCACCATACTCGGCCCAAGCCTTTCTATCCCCACGTGGAGGTGAGGGGCTAGGACCTTCCTCATCATCTGATTTTCCCTCTGCTCCCCAGCTGGAGGCTCAGGCCCAAGCAGAGGTGAAGGCGAAGGAGGATGCCTACGCCTTGGACTCCGAGAGCTCCATGGAGGTGAGAGGTATTTCGGGTGCATCAGCCCTGCATTTCCCAAGAGCGTGGTCCCTGTCTCCAGCCCCTTTGGGATTCTAGCCTTGGGTGAGGGCAACTCGACAGATCGCTCAACTTGGTGCGCTCAGGGCTGGCCCAAAGCTATCACTGCTTCTCCCCATCCCGTTCCACTTTGACAGGGACCCCCACACACACACACCTGGGTAGCCCTGCAGCTTTGCTTCCCTCCTTAGAAACTCGCGGCCCTCAGTGCCAGCCTGGCCCGCGTGGTGGTGCCTGCTATGGAGGAAGAGGCAGAGGCCGACGAGTTTCCTGCTGATGGGGTGAGTACTGTGCTGCCTTCTGGAAGAGGGGTGGGACTGGGCATGGGGACCAGGTCTGGGAAGAAACTTGGGAGGGGGTCACCTCCAGCCCCGCCCCCAGGGAGGTGGGTGCCCTGGTGACATGAGACTTGGCTTGGCAGGAGATGGCAGGACAGGAAGAGAACCACAGGAAGGAGCTGGAGGCTCAGGAAAAGCACAAGAAGCTCTTTGAAGGCCTGAAGTTCTTCCTGAACCGCGAGGTGCCCCGAGAGGCCCTGGCCTTTGTCATCAGGTGGGCAAGCTCTGTGGGCTGGGCAGTGTCGCTCGCTGTGTGCCAGTCTGGGTCCTGCCATGGGTCCCTGTGAGTACCCAGGAGGTGGTGTCTGTTTCCGTGTGTGCTCTGGCCTGAGCACCTCGGGAGCGCTTACCCAAGAGCAGGGCTGCCATTGCTGTCTCCCCAGCCAAGAGCCCTGCTGGGCCAGCAGTGGAGGGAACGGCACAGACTGGACAGTGCAGGCTGGGGACGGACCCCTCCTGAAAGGGTGAATTTGTGGGCGGGCTGCTCAGTATGTCCCAGGGAGTTGGGTCCCCTAGCAGGCAGCTCACACCTGGGGACCTTCGTGGTCTCTTCTTGTGCCTGTAGAAGTTTTGGGGGGAACGTGTCCTGGGACAAATCTTTGTGCATTGGGGCTACCTATGATGTCACGGACTCCCGCATCACCCACCAGATTGTCGACCGGCCTGGACAGCAGACCCCTGTCATTGGCAGGTAAGCCCGGTGCCTTCATGCTGCCTAGGGAGAGGTCTGTCTCAGAGGCCCCTGCTGAGCAGTGGGACTGCAGGTAACCCCTCCTGACCTGTCTTTGCTGGCCATTCTGCACCAGGTACTATGTGCAGCCCCAGTGGGTGTTTGACTGTGTCAATGCCCGGCTCCTCCTCCCTGTGGCAGAGTACTTCCCTGGGGTGCAGCTGCCCCCACATCTTTCACCCTTCGTGTCTGAGAAGGAAGGAGATTACATTCCACCTGAGAAGCTGAAGCTGCTGGCTCTGCAGAGAGGAGAGGACCCAGGTAAGCGGGAGGGGGCCCACTTACCACCACCAGGGTGGAGAGGGTCCTTGATTTGGCCATTTCCCTTGGCTACAGAGTAGCGGACTCCAGGGAATGGGGCAGCAGCAGCTGAAAGCCCTTCAAACCACCTTTTGGGTAATGCTTGGGGGCAGGAAAGGAACCGTTTGCTTCTAACAGTCTGGTGGTGTTTACATTCAGAGTAACTGAGCAGAACGGGCTAGAGTACTCATCCATGTTCACGTAGACAACAGAGTTCAGGAGTGGGGGCTGGGGACCTTGGAGGTTCCCGTGAAGGCAGCTGTGCCCGTGGGGAGAGGCCAGAGGTAGCTACGTTGGGTAGTCTTGAACTGTCCTTGGCATGTCTGAGATGTGGGGTCCGAGAGGGTCATGTCTGGGGCCAGCATTTCACTCTGCAAGGGAAAGAGCTGGTAACCAGGGCACTCAGAAGTCATTGACTGTCTGTAGGAAACTTGAAAGAGTCAGAAGAGGAGGAAGAAGAAGACAGTGAAGATGATGGGGAGGAGGAGGAGGAGGAGGAGCAAGGTGTGGAGGCTGGTTCGGAGAAGGAGGAAGAGGCCTACCTGGCCGCCCTGGAGGAGCAGAGGATGGAGGAGAAGGTATGGGCGTGTTCAGCCAGAGGCACTGCCTGGTTCAGAGGGGCAGGAGCCCGGGAACCTGCACCCACAAGCACCTGCTGTGTGTCCGCAGAAACCCAAGGTGATGGCAGGCACCGTGAAGCTGGAGGACAAGCAGCGGCTGGCCCAGGAGGAGGAGAGTGAGGCCAAGCGCCTGGCCATCATGATGATGAAGAAGCGGGAGAAGTACCTGTACCGAAAGATCATGTTTGGGAAGAGGCGCAAAATCCGAGAGGTGAGATCCCGCCGCTGCTCCCTGAGACGGCGTGGCCACCAGGTGTGGCTGAGCCGGGCCGTGACCTCAGGGGTGGGGATGGGGGAGGAGACTGTCCTCCGGGCCGACGCTGGATCTCTTGTGTCCTCTTCCTGAGGTCACCCACTCGGCCTGGGCCTTCCTGGGGCTTCTGTCTCCTTGCTCCCTGGTATTCCTGATCCTCTGGTAGCAAAGAGAGTTATCCTGGCAGAATTGAGAAGTTTTTGTTAAACGTCTCTATTTTCTTTTTTTCTTGTACACAAAGCCACATATACTCATTTAAAAAACAAAACATGTACAACCCAGAAATCTGTAATGGATGCTACAGAAGTGGCTCCTAGCCCTGCCTTTGGGGTCATCTGTAGGAAAGTCCTCCAGGTGTCTCTTGTGCGCATAATGGCACTATTTGGAGAGGATCATGCTTTATATAGAGTGTTTTGAAGTTAATTTCAAAACATTGCACAGTATGTGACCTGTGCCCTACTGATAGCACTAGAGACGTTAGTCACTCTCAGAGCTGACCTTCTTGAACAGGTCCCTGCCCTCCTTGGAATGTCTCCGCAGGCTAAGTCTTAGGTGTATGATAGTATAATTCTGCAGTGAGTACTGCGCAGTGGCCTGGGAAGGCTTGCCTGCCAGTTCCAGGTGAAAGTCTGAATGGCATCCAGCTTTCCTCAGTGGGGCTGGTAAGTGGACAGTTACTGAGTTTCCTTCAGCTCTGGGACCCAGGGGTAATCATAATTAGAGACTTGTGAGCCCATAGAATAATAAAGAGCCGTCGTGGAGGAGGGGGTTGTTCGCTTCTCTACAAGCTCTGATTGTAAGGAGTAACCTGAGTAGAAGAACGAAGATGCTCTTCTGTGCCCACCCCTGCCCCGTGCCCCCGCCCACACCTAGGCCGACTGCCTATTTGTTCTTCACAGGCCAACAAACTGGCACAGAAGCGGAAAGCCCATGATGAGGCTCTGAGGTCTGAGAAGAAGGCAAAGAAGGCCAGGCCTGTGTGAGTGCTTGCGGCCCTCCCGGCAGCTGGACATGGCAGAGACAGGCCGGCGGACCTAAGCTTGGTGGCAGACCGGTTACTTCTGTTCTCTTCCCCCACCTCCGCCCGGCCAGCCCTGGCACCCTCATTCTCTCTGGTGGGGTGCGTGGGCTGTTCAGGCTCCTGTGGACGGAGCTCCCTGCTGGTGGCTGAGCAGAGAAGAGACCTGCATTCTCAGGAGCCTGACATGGGGAGCAGGCACCCAGCAGACCCCTCCCTTGCTGCCTACATTCACCCTGGCTTTCCGTAGCCCCCACCCTGGACCTGTGATTGTCAGGGTGCTGTGATGGGGTGAGAGTGGCGACCTTTTGTTATTAAATGGCCGGACTTCTGCAGCCATTTGGATTTTGTGTTGAGGAGGCTTCCTGGGGTTGCAGCAGTGCTGCCTGGTGGCCTGCACCGTGGGCTATGCCAGCCCGCGCTATCTACCAGAGGACGCCTGGACTCTCTTACTAGAGTGCCCTGCTGTCCCGTGGATCCCTCCAGGCGCAAAGGTGCCAGAAAGGAGGCACAGAAGTTCTGGGAGTGGCCTCCATGTTTGCGCTGATGTTGGCTTGCATTCCCGCCCAATCACTTTCCCTCTGAACCTGCTTCCTCCTGAGGTGTGGGTGTGAGGGTGGGTTTGGGTCCTCCCTCAGAAGGCTGTGGAGGGGTCAGTGAAAGTGGTTGAGGATCTGGGGGTCCCAAAGGCAAGTAGACGCCTAGTTTTGTGGGCTCGGGCAAAACGAAGTAACCCCCAGTATCACCACTGCTGGACTGTTGCAGTCCCGCCTTACACTATACAGTATGTGACCTGTGCCCTCGTGATATCTACCTGCCTTGACAGCACTTATGATACCCCGGGGTCACCCCTTGCCTGGGACTGTCTGCATCGTGCCAGCCAGGGCTGGAACCTGGGATTCCGGACGGGAGCTCTAGGCTCCCTGAACTTCTCCCCCAGGCTGCTACTGGTGAGCCAGCTGAGTGCTACCTGGGGCCAGGGGCAGGCTGGGGAAGAGGGTGTTTGGAACTGGGCTCCACCCTCCCTGAATCTAGGCACCTTAATGCCTTGCCCTTCTGCCAGTCATGTGTGTGCTGGTTCTGTAGGTGGAAACTGTCCTTTGGCCAGTGGCTGCAGTGGAGGGAGGGGCTGTGGCTTAGGAGCAGAGAACTCGGCTCCCACCAGCGGGCCCGCACAGTGGGAGGAGAGGGCTGTGTCTCTTGCCCATGCTGGCACATCCATGGCAGTGGGGGTTGGCAGCAGCAGACAGAGGGTCAGGACTCTTGGATCGAGAGCCCGTAGCCCCAGGGAATGACTCAGGCCTGCCTGGTGCATGTGCATCCCAGGCCACAAGGTCAAAGCAGACCCGTCAGATACGGAAAAATGCCTGGCAGCCACGCTGATGTGGAATTTTCCTCATTCCAGAAGAGCCCAGAAATGGCGGGGGCACAGGGCTCTGATGTGGCCCATGCCCTGTTGGCAGCCGGCTGCTTCTGTACTGCCCACAGCTGGAGCCAAGAATTCCTCACAGACAATAGCCCCATCCTTGGTCCTGCTCCCCTGGGGAAAGGGGGAAACCCTGGGCCTGGAAAACGAAGTGGGTCCTAGACCTGGCACTCCCATCCTGGAGGCCCTGCCTGCTCGCGGCCTGGATCCCCATCCGAGAGGAGGGTGAGCTCAGGCTTCAATGGAGCTAAGTCCCTTGCCTGAGACCCCTTCTGGAATCCGGCTGCCCCTCACCACCCCCACACCCCGGGCTGTGTGTCCCGAAACGTGTCCACTGTGCCAGCACAGACCTTACACAGACTAGAGCAAGTCCAGTCTTCCACTGGGTCCTGAGGGCACCAGTGCCCCAATAAAAAGCAACTAATCTCGCATCATTCTCAAGCCCAGGGTACCACCATTGAGCTCAAAGCATTCTCCTCTGGGGCTGGGGGCTCGGCGGAGCCAAAGGACTGCAGGCAGGACAATGGTCCCGTTGGCTCGTCCAGACAAATGGGCCTTGTTGGGCTGGCGGCGGGGGCACGGCAGTGCGCCCCTGCGTGCTGAATGTGGCTTCTGTGCCTCCGGGCAGGCAGGGCAGGCGCACAAGAACCGGGACTGGGCGGGAGGGGGTCGGCCTGGAGCGCCCATTGGCCAAAGTGTGGAGGGTTGGGCCAGGCTGGCGACGCACCTGCCAGGGCGCGGGAGCTGGTGAGGAGCCGGTGAGGAGCCGCTGCGGCGGCGGCAGAGGGGTGGGGGCATGGACCAGGCCAGCAGGAGCGCGGGGCCCCGGCGGATGAACCCCACCGCCCAGTGAGCGAGCAGCTGGGCGGCGCGGCCCGGAGCCAGCCACGCTGAGCCCAGGGAGAACCAGGCCAAGGTATGTCCCAAGGGCCAGTGCTCACCGTTGGCTTGTCCTGACTCAGTGTGTCGCTCGAGGAGCCTGCCCACCGCACCTCAGTGGCCAGAGGGGCGCTGCTTGGGACCTGCTGTCTGTGAGACGGGTACAGCATCCCTGCACCAGAGGTGGGGCGGCAGGGAGGGCGCAGGTTGATGCTGGTCCTGCCTTTGCATTTTTCCCAGTGCCCCTAGTCCCTGAGGGTGGGGAGGGTGGGGCAGAAGGCAGGTCGCAGTCTGGGCTGGGGCTGCAAAACCTGTTAATGATTAATCTTGGACACAGTGGCCTGAGCCCTAGTGAAAGGGGGCGGGGAGCTCCTTTCCCCAGCATCTCTCCACGGAAGCGTTCTGTCAGAGTGGGAACTGGGGACCATAGTAAGGGGCCAGTCCCTTCTGTCTGGGGAAGGCCCTGAGGATGCACTGCTACCAAGGAAAGGCTTTTGGGGGTGGGATAAAGCCTGGTGCCCAGGAGGAGTCCCTTCTGAAATCCCACAGTTCTGTTTCCTGGGTCAGTGGCCAGGAAGGCGGTCCAGCTTGGTCTGCTTGCAGGCTGGCAGGCCAGAATTTTGGTGGCAACACAGAGCACAACTAGGTGCTCTTCCCACTGGGGACCCCTCCCCGCCAGCTGCCCAGAGAGGGAGAGGTGATGGGCCCACCTCTGGCTGCTGTAACTGATACCAGAGGGAGGGAGGGACGGAGGGCAACAAGCCTGACACTTGATCTCTGGGGCTGCCATGGTGACAGGGCCCATGGAAATCCTCAGGCGGCCAGTGGTGTGGAGGAAGGTCCAGTTAGAACCCAACCTCTTCCTCTACTGAGGTTGTGATCTGAGGCCCAGAGAAGGTGAGGCTTATCCAAGGTCACACAGGAAGCACAGTGCCGGCACTCCTGGGCCAAAGCAGCCTCTAAGCTGCTCTGTACCTTGCTCTGCAAGGGAACATTACTGCCTATCCCCATTATCCGGAGGGCAAAGCTGAGGCTCAGGGAGAGTCAGCCACTTGCCCAAGGTCACACAGGTCAGAGGTGGGTGGGTTGATTCCAAATCAGTCTTGCCGGGGACCCTGGTTCAGAACCTCATGCTCTACTCAGGCCCTCACCGCCCCACTGGGGTCCTTGCCTCTTGGATCTGCCTGGGCTCCCCCAAACTCCTCCCCCTGGCCTCCCTGCCTCCCAGCTCTGCCTGACACTTGGTGGTGGGCAGGCTGTTACCCTGGGAGCAGAGACAACGGAGCCCTGTTCCCAGCTGCCACCTCAGGCTGCTTGATTCCCTGCTTCTTGCTCAGGCACATGTGGACAAAGAATGCCTGCCGCCCCTTACATGCCTGTCCCTTACTGTCGTCTTGTTACCCAGCACGAAAGGACTGTGTCCCATACAGCCCCTGCCGGGCTCTGAGGGACTGAGTGTGCTGCCCAAGAAGGGAGGCAATGATTAACCTGGGGAATGATGATCAAATGGAGGAATCCTGGGCCTGGCTGGAGGTTAGAGGAGGGCTTCTTGCTGTGCTCTGAGGGAGGAATGTGGGTGACCCTTTCTAGGAGCCCCACACCACTCCAGACAGATGCCGTGAAGTCTCCTGGCTGGGGACTGAGGGACTCACCGGTTGAGGTCATGAAAGTACATCCAGAGGAACCTGCTATCCCATGTGCCAGTTCGAGGGCAGAGATGAGATCTCCAGTGGTGTCTTGCCCTGCTGTGGCACCTGGGGCTAGTCTGTCCCCATCTGTGCTTGAGTTTTGTTGGATTTAGAAAACGAGAATTGGGGCAGCCTGAGTCTGGAACATAGAGGGGGGGTGTATCTTCCAGGTGTCTGCACTGACAGATCCTGCTTCCTCTGCCAGGTGGGATCTAGAAAGGTCCAGGAGGATCATGAGAATAACCGTTGTATACCAGGCACTGTGCAAAGGGCTCTGCGTGCCTCCCACCATGGATTCTCCCAGCAAGACTGCGAGAGCATGGCTGTACCTCCATTTTTTCAAATAGAGAAAGTCGCTTGCCCAAGGTCACCCAGCTGGTGAATGATGGAGGGAGATTTGTAGTCCAGGCATCTCAGAAAGTCCAACAATAGAGCAGAGGTGGGTGTGTGCTGTGCATAACAAGTGTTCAGGACCATTTGTAAAACCTGTCACATAACTTTGTATATAATCATCCTTTAAACAAATATGTCAGACAGCTTTTAAATAGAGAATGAGGCTTTGATTCCTATATGCTCGTCCCTGGAGTTCTCAGTATTTGGGGAGCTAATGTAGATGTGAGTGTGACTCTGTGATCACCCCCTTTAGAGCTGCTTTGGGCTACTCAGATCTGCCATCAGGAAAGGTGACTTTTGCCCGGACAAGGCAGTGTAGCAGAAAGAGCTTGCTCTTAGTTCTGGCTTTGCTGTTTAGTGCTTTCGTAAGTTCTTGAGGCTCAGTTTTGCCATCTGTCACATGGGGCCAGCAGAATGCGTTGGGAGGCCCTGTCAGGGTCCTGGGTATGTGTGTGGCTGCTCTTTGAAACAGCAGAGGTAAGTGAACCTGTAAGATTCAAAAGTGTTCTCTGAGTCATCAAAGAACATTGCACTCTCTCAGTGGCCGGGGCCATTACCCCTTGGCATCCAGCCAAAGGCCCAGAGAATAGGGGCAAAATGTCAGGGCTAATTGTCTGGAGGTGCTGTGAGCCAGTAAGCTGAGATCCAGCTGAGGCACCCTGCTGGGTGGTCCTCTCCATCTCTGCTCCAGCACCCCAGTCCAGAGGGGTTCAGCAAGAAGAAGCTTCTAAATCCTTGCAAGTCACTCCTGCAGGGTGGCCCAGCCTCTCCTGTCTGCTCAGCTGTGCAGCCCACACTGCCCAGCTCTGTGCCAGGCACCTGCTGCCCTTTCCCCACTTAGGACACTGGAGTTCAGAGGGCAGTGTGCCCCCTCAGCCACACAGGGAGGCGGGGCCTGGCTCAGATGAGCTACTCTTCCCTCCTCCAGCTAAGCTGTTGATTTCTTCCTTCCTTCCTTCCTTCCTTCCTTCCTTCCTTCCTTCCTTCCTTCCTTCCTTCCTTCCTTCTTTCCCAGGAATCAAATTCAGAACCTCAAACTTGCCGGGCAGGTGCTGTACCACTGAGCTGTATCCTTCGCCCCTTATTTGGTGTTTTTTTGTTTGATTTGGATTTTTTGGTTTTTTACTGTCAATTTTCAAAATGGAAATATCTTTATCTTTAAATTTTTTGCAAGTTACTGGCAAAAAAAAAAAATGTACATGTACCTGTTAGAGGTGGGCAGAGGTGGGAGTCCAAAGGGAGGCTACGGACAAGAGAGCCTTCCCGAGTCTTGGGATGTGTGTGGACTTGAATCCTGTGGGCGCTGGGGAGCCCTAGGAGCATTTTCAGCAGAGGAGTGAGGAGATGAGATTCCCACCAGGCTTCTGAGTGGAAGATGGACTGCAGGGATGGAAGGAGGAGGAGAAGCAGAGGGACAGAGGGGCGGGGGCGCACTTGCCAGGCAGAGGCTGTTCCACTGAGCTGTGTCACTGGCCCCATGATAGAGTTTTAAGTTGATCTGTTTCACAGGTGTGTATTGAGGGCCTGCGCTGTCCCCTGCATCAGTGTACATGATGCGTGGGCCAGGGGACATAGAATGTACTCCTCACAGTGAATGTACTTATTATATATTGCAAATATGTACTAATAAGAATTTTAAAATAAAAACCAACAAAGAGTCAAAATGTCAACAGAGAAAAATTTCTTCCAAGTAATGCAGTCCCTTGTAAATATATGTACTAATGTATATATTAAATATATGTAATAGCATATATGTAATAAAATATGTGAAATATATAGAGATATAGATGTAACCATAGAATTGAAATGCATTACAGAGAATCAATGCCCCTAGTCCCCAGGAAAGTACAGTTTACATTCAGGTATCTTTGCAGGCCCTTTTACTCAAGTATAATTGTTGAGCTTTGCTCTATGTACGTTATTCTGTGCACAGTGTATAATTGGGCTTAATATTAGGCAGCTCTTTAACTTCAGTTTCTTCTCCATGGAGACAAAGTCTCTGAGAGCATGAGAGGAATGAAAATCACTGCAGTGACCCCTTCTGTGTGCCCATCTCAGACCCACTGTGAGATACCTTCTTGGAACGTATTCCCACACGTGGCATTGCTGGGCCTGAGCTCAGTACTGTTCAGCTATGAGGTTGCTTCCAGATTTGCGCTCTGAACACTGTTGGCAGAATCTTCTTCCTCTTTCTTTTGCATGCTTGCGATGGAGCCCAGGCACTCCCACAGGCTAAGCAAATGCTCTACACTGCGTTACACTTTCAGCCCCCCTTGTGCTTCATTCCTAAAGCCTTCTCTTGAGTTCCCATAAGAATCCTCTCCGCTAGAGGCAGAAGCGCCAGGACATCCTCACTCCCTACTTTCTCTGCCAGAGGCCTGTCCCATCTGTGCACCTGGAGCCGGCGAAGGGGATGTAGGTCCATCTGGAGTGGTTTGCTGGGAAGCAGCTGTGCCACAGAATGTGATGCCAGCGATGGCTTTGGAGGCCCTGGCTGCCCTCTTTCTCTCCTTCGGGGCTCTTTCTCACCCTTTTCCTGATGACTCCATTTACTCCTGTGGCCTCAGTTTCCACCTCTCTGTGGATGGCTCTCAACCCAAGACCTCCCACCTGTCCTCCAGGCAGGACCCCCTGCTCTTTGGATGGTCTCTGAGCACCCCATACACCTCAGACTCCACGAGTCCTAACAGAACCCCAGATGGCCTACCGCATCCCAACACTAAACCTTCCTGCCTGTCAGCCTTCCCAACTCAAGGTCTAGCTCCACCCTAGCCAGCCTGTCACCCCAAAAGGGACCTTCTTTCCCCTCCCCTCCTCCACACCCAGTGACCAACCAGATGTGGCCTATGCCATGGCTTACAAATGTTTGTGGTTTATCCTCGTCTTCTCCTTGGTCCTGATCATCTGACACCTGGGTGGCTGGAACAACCATTGGGTTCTGCCTGCTTCTTCTCCT